CTTCTACGTAGTTCCTTGAACTTCTAAGGCTCTCCGAGTTCCAAAACCTTTTCTTTTCTAAGCTCTCTCAATTCAACCAATACCTCAGAACATGCATGAACTTCTACAAACTTCCCTGAACCTTATCTATGAATTTCGCTGAACATCTGGGTGACACCAAGATCCCAAAACACACCCTAAGCTGCCACAAAGTTTGATGGAATGCTATGAAGTTCGCTGCTCTTCAACGAAGTTCTTTGAACTTCTAAGAATTTCGTTAGTTATCTTCGAAGTTTCATGCCGTTTCATCAAACTTTCCTGAACTTCTACGGAATTCCCTGAACAACACAAAGTCCATCAAACTTCAACGAAGTGCACTAAAGTTGAAAGAAGGTCCTCAAGCTTTTCGGAAGTTTTCTGAAATTATACATAGTTAATTTCAACGAAGTTCTTCAAACTTGTACAAAGAACAGTTCCAGTTAGTTAGTTTTCTTTATTAAAGAAAGAAGTTCCAGGCCAAAAGCAAAAAACAAATGAATTTTAGACTCAACCTTCTGCGATTTGCATGAAACTCTGCATAATTGTTTCTAATGGGCAATCATTCACATTTTTGCAAAAATTTGGTCATTTTGGATCATGCAATTTTTGATAATGGCGTATTTGACATTTTTCAATAAATCGTCACACTAAAACGTCACTTTTTATCGAAATAACGTCTGAGGCACAGTTTTAGGAAAAAATCAAGTCTTCCTTGGGAAAATATGCCCGGTATTTTTTTTAGAAATTTCAACTTAAAAATTCAAAACATTGACTTCAGTAACTAAAAGACTGCTCGATTCGTCATTTGACGTGAAACTACTTCAAAGTTCCCACTTCTACGAAATTTTCCAGAATTTTGAAAAGCTCCAAGAATTTCTAAGAAATTCTTTGAAGCTCTACCAAGTTTCTCGAATTTCCAATACAATTCCTGAATTTCCACTACGTCCCTAAACATCCACCAAGTCCCTGATGTTGTAATAATTTCAATGAAGTTGCATAAAAATGCCCAAACTAATTTCTACGAAATTCACTAAAGTTCGCTACTATGTTTGATGCAATTCTACAATGTTCTCAGAGTTTCTATATTTTTTTTTAAGATCTAGTGCAAACTTGCTGCACTTCTAGAAAGAATTTCTCAGCAATTACTCGCAGTTTCTTAAGTTCTACCAAGTTTCTGCAAGATCTATGAAGATCCGTGACATTCTTCAAACGATCCCCAAACTTTTACGAAGTTCCCCGAGTTTCCACGAAGATCTCTAAAATCAAATGATGTTATTTTTTATGAATTAAAGAACGGTCCGTTTAGAATCTGGACGCAAGAAATCTAAAATTCTACGAAGATTCCTGAACTCCTAAGAAGATTACTGCACTTCCACAAAATTTCTTTGCAACTTAAATTTAGTTTCTAGACTTCTTTCCAATCAATTTAGCTTATCCTAAGTTCTCTGAGTTTCAATGAAGTTCCGCAAACTGCTGGGATTTATTTGACGTAACAAAAATGTAGCTTTTTGGTTGTTCTTTCAGAAAAACTATTTCAGAAAATTATTCCACTGGGTTCGTGAACAAATCACGAACTTTAATGGAAATTGAGCATGTTTTCTATGCACACCCTTCTGATCAACCTCAGCATGCCTCAGTGGCTGCTGCTAGCCAACTCTACAGCATCACGAGTCACCTTGCAAGTTTTCTTCAACTTCCGCTCGATGATTGCCCAAAATGTTTTTATTGGGTGGAATGGACCATTGAAAATGCTGAGGTTTTGATAGAACCACAGACAAACATACATAACACATTGAATATTTCTCACTGTAAAACATCGTCGGTAAAACATAACCGCCATCTGTTGGGTACACTGTGGTGGGTAGTACGCTGAAAAGATGGCGGTAGTGTGTAAACGTCAAACGCAAGGGAACTGACTATGCGCGCCACAGGTGGAGATACTTTTAAATTGACCGTTAAATGCCTTTTCGATGAAAAACTCGCGAGTGTTATATCTTTTTGTCTGTGATAGAACTATGCTGTGACTACCACAGTATTTTACATTTGATCGTCCATATACAGTAGCGCCAAAAGCATGCTGTGGTGGGTTCAAAACTTGACCATCTAAATTGATCAATTGAAGGCGCTAGGGTGGATTAACGTCCTTTTCGATAAAATCCACTTCATTGTCACGAAACCACTAAAATACCGTCTAGCTGTAGCTCTTTCAAAACAAACTCAAAACATTCCAGAACCGACCACAAGGAGCGCTGCAAGATCAAGTTTTAGGCATGATGCTGACGAGGAACCGATTTGAAGGTCCCCAAGCAACGATGCTAATGTTACCAGAGAGCGAAGCTGTGCAGAAAGCCATTTCCCAAATCGATCGAACGTAAATCTCGTGCAGTCCTCGATCTCGTAGGGGACGACGGGGTAAGACGGCCACCCTAAGGTTGAAGTAAAGCTTAACCAAAACTGTATTGAAGTTCCGCGATAAATTTAGTTAATATTGACCTTCGGCCTACTTTCCCTAATTACATTGATTTGCAGAAAATTTCCATTTCATTTGATGATGTTTTTTCTCGAACCAAAAAATGAAATGAAAAAAAAAAGATGCGCGGTAAGGTTGGCCACTTGGAATATCACATGATCCTGGCCATATTAACGGTTGCTGTCTTCAGCAAAATTGAACAGTATGTCGGCAGATTGGTTAGAGAAAAGTAGTATTGAATTGTCTCACTATGAAGCGCTAATGTGCAAGGCAATTTCCTGTATAAAATAAATCTTGAGATCTTTACTTATACAGAAAGATGCCATCTTCGGGAAAGTTGTCCAGGTCTTCTAATTTGAGGGCTGGTTACTTCATAATTCTCTCACTACGCGGCATTTGTCTACGTGTGGACTTCACGTAGATGAACTGACTTCGTAGATGGTGAGGAATTCAAAATATAACCCATACATAGATACATGAAGTTCACATGTACACTAGCGCCGCGTAGTGAGAGGATTCCACATTTACTTGTGCTGCATCACCGTTTGGAATGCCTTGCTCATCTTACTATAATGCCGGAAACAGAAGCTTCTTAGAAATCCAGAACTTAGTTTTATAAATTGACTGCTTTTAAGGATCTTCCGGATTTTCTGGTGGACTCCCGGGGCCTCCATATCTCGAATTCATACTGATGATAGATCTACAAATGTTCTCGATAACAGCTTTATATATTGCAGAAACGAAATATTTTCAGAGTTGGTTGGAAATGCTATCTAACATGAAGCTTTAGTGTGATAATGTATTAGCTAGAGAATGGTCTTAGAAGAGGGTAGGTAGATAGTTCCGTTAGAGTTCGGCAGTATGAAAAATGAAAAGAAGTTGAAAATGAGCGAAGGGCCATTAATGCGACAGTGCAAGTCAAACGCACACTCCTTCGCCTAACCCGTACGATGTACGCGGGGATTTGAAGTATGTCTTCAAATCTACAGGCAAAAAAGTGTGCGCTTGACTTTGCTCATATACTGTCTGCGGCTGTGGAATAGTTCTAGCGACGTTTCATCACTACCTTAAGTCCCACGTTGCCGAAAGCATTTCCAGTCGATGGTGTGTTATAATGCAATTCTTCTTTTCCCAACTATTGTGTTGCTCCTCTCGTCATGACCAACGTGGTCATCTCAGAGAGAAAGCAGTAGGGGTTGACGGCTACTCCCGCCTTGAGTTGTTACTCTTTGAATGAAACAACTCAAGGTGGGAGTAGCCGTCAACAATGCTGATGATGGTACAGCACGGAACAACCACCCTACTGCTTTCTCTCTGAGATTTGTACAGACGAGTTCCCGGCAAACATATTTTGCCGAGATCTCAGCATAAGTGACGTGTGATAGCTGAGTATCGGAAAATGTTTCACTGAATCTCAGCTAACAAACGTAATGGCGAGATCTCAGTAAAATGTGTTGCCCACCACTCGGCTGTGCAAATTTCGGCAACATATTGTCGAGATGGGGAAAACAAAACTGAGTTTGCAGACCGCCGCCATGCACAATGACGTTTCACTTGTTATCAAGCTAGAATGTATTTTACATCATCAACATTATGATAATGTATTTTACATCATCAACATTATGATAATGCCGGCGCCGGTGGTGTAGTGGTAAGCGTGACTGCTTTCTAACACACCAATAGGTCTAGGTTCAATCCCAGCCGAGGTCAGTGGGATTTTTCTGAGGCATAAAAATCTCTGGTCACGTCATCCTTCGGAAGGGAAGTAAAGCCGTTGGTCCCGGCCCATGTGTGTTGAATGGGTGCGATATCCTACGCAGCTGTGGAAGCTGCCTTCCTGCACATTCGATTGCCGTCAATGGATGGCAATCGATGTCCGTCGGTGATTGGCACTAGATTGCGGAACAGAGACCGACGTTAAATAAAGGAAAACATTATGATAATTTATTATGCTTTCAATAGTTAATTTTTATCAATAATCTAAAGGGTGGCCGTCTTACCCCGTCGTCCCCTAGACGCTAACGTTTGTAGACCGCTCGACAACCCAGCAAACAATTTGAACTGATTAAGAGCTGATTAAGCCATTTTTTAGCTGACGAAGCATATTTTTACATTATTCGGGGTTGCATTCGGTTTAAATAAAGGCATAAATAAGACTCTCCCTGACTTTATACTTAAATAATATACACCAAAACGATGCACCTTCCATAGTGATATCTCAAACTCACTAAGTTCGTCGTGAAAGATTCAAAACTTGCAGCCATTTTCAACTTATTTTAATCGCAAATTTGACGCTTGAAAATTATGTCTTCATCACGACCGACTAAATCCAAGCCTTCCTCAAAGCAGTACTCGATCAAAATCACCAAAACAAGCATAGTGCAGTGGGTCAAAGGTTGGTCTTTTACTTTAATTCTAGTCTGGAGTGTCTCCAATCAGTTAGATAGGTTCCAAATGCTTACTTCTAGTTTCGACAGTACGGAAATCGATGATGCGCTTTTTCTTTAGACAATGGATGTCACCGAAACTACTACTTCTACTACTAGGTACATATTTCATAAACACCAAACCGTAACTTAGACACAGTTTTGTTTGCTATCAGCGATGAATGAGTTGCATTTACTTGATGAGTTGACAAACTCGTCGTGTGAGTGTACAATCAAAAGTTTGCTTGCCTTCCTATTGGTCTACGATTTAATTTAGAATCATTGGTATTGTAGTTTACTATCGATGGTCAAAAAAGAGGGAAGGTTCTATTATTTTTTTTCTTTTGTTCGCGCCTTAATTCTAGCTGTCATAATATTTAATGGATTTATTTCTTAATGGTTATAATTTTACAGTGGAAAAAGGGCAGCTGCACCGCTTGTCTGGTCGAAACAAACTATGTTCCATTATTTTTTTTTTAAATTTTATTAAAGTAAACAGTCACGTAAAACCGAAACAAATTCAAGTAAAAACACATTCTCCCGGTAACGAAAAAACTAATGGCCTGAGTTTCACTTGATCGATCACATTCAACTTGAACTAAACTAGAAAGCAATAATTGCTGCCAAATTTACGGCGTCTTTAAACGCCTTTTTCCAGCGATAATTCGTAGAAACAAAACAAAAACTACTCAGTAGTGCGCCACAGAGAGGCAGAAGAGGGTTAAGCTCACCACACGTGTCGTTTTCGTTGGTTCTGGTGGTGTGGTGGGTTCTCGCCGACTACAGCTAGCTGGGGAGAGCTTCAAACGTTGGCGCCCTCTTTGATGAGCTTTTCCTGCCCGAAACAGTCGGTCAGTAGCACTGCAGCGCCGTTCGTTTTGCCGTTGCCCGTCTTAAGCTGCATCGCGAGGAGAGAAAGAGAAAGAAGTAGTTTTATTAGTTCATATGTAGGTGGCTTCATAAGGTATAAATAAAAGCATCGGGTTTGTCAATTAAGTATTAACCCTTTCGAGTCCACGTGGTCATGACCACAGTGTCTATGATGATTGGTTGCATAAAGTCGATAGCCAGATTGATACACACTTTCTTCAGTAAAGTTGTAGTTGTGGGTTTCAACTAACGGGTGTTCAATAAAAAATGAGAATGATTTCAATACCTTTCTGTAATTAAAGTGAGAGCATCGCGACTAAGTTGCGTCTTACGGCTGACCAGGGCCCCTTCTCCAATATTCATTGACATTTTTTTTTTGAAGAATAAACATTATGTTTTTAATTTAAAAAAATACTAAATTCGTTGAAAAAAAATTTTTTACTAGCAATATGACTGAAAAAATTCTCATTTTTTATTTAACACCCGTTATACAGGAAATATGAAAGCACCAGTTTAAAGCCATGTAGATCTCCAAAACTTTATGAAGTTTTTATGTTTGCGTGAATCTGGTATGCGACAATACCTTTAGCAACGAAAAATACATTGCCATGTTAATTAAACCCAATTTGTCAATTAAAGATAAATTTGCTTGATAGCAACGTGTTCTAAGTTCTTCGAATTGTTTTGGAGTTCATATTATTTGATCTACTGAATCAACCAACTCAGCGACAATGCCTGCCCAAACATGTTCATAAAGTTTTTGAACTTCATTTATAATATATTTTGATGTGTATACGTTGAGCATCCAAATTATCCTGGAGATCAGATTTAATGATCTACCAAATCAATCATGACTGATCACAAGGCCCTTTATAACGAAACATCTCAAGACAGGTTCAGGTTGTCCACCGAGGATGATCTTGAAATAAGGAAAAAATGAGTTAGTAAGTCTTGATCTATGTGATTCCTAATCTTCTATTCGTTGTTCTCTAGTTTGAAGTGGTTAAAACTAGGATGCTGATGCATGGTCATTATCGGTGTCATTCCTTAATTTTGTTGCTAAAGAATCCAATTTTGACTGACAAAGGGGCGCGCCAGTGGAGGGTGTTCCAACACTCCGAAGGGTATAAATAGCGGGACCTTTCAATTAGAGTTGGATCCTTGCGATAAATGCAAGAATGAAAACTGTGAAAAAATCGATTACTTCATCATTTCTCATGCTGGTGGACAGTAGTTCAAAATTTACTCACTACATAGCGCTAGTATACATGTGAAGTTCTCGCATGTGATATATCTCGTAATCGTGACCAGATAGAAAGTTACTGTCTTCGAAAAAGTTGTTCAGGAGTTCAAAGCCTATAGTTCAGAATTTTTTCACTATATGGTGAAATTCTCATATAAAATATCTCGAAATCCTGATCATATAAAAAGTTACTGTTTTGGGCAAAGTTGTTCAGGAAGTCAAGGCCTTTTTGCTGGTGGACTTAAGTTCACAGTTTTCTCACTTTGCAACGCTAGTATACGGCAAAGTTGTTCAGGATGTTAGGATCTTTTCGTTGGTGTACAGTAATTCAGAATTTTCCCTTTACGTGGCACTAGTATGCGGGTCATTCAGAGATATTTTATATGCAAGGATTTCATGTGTCTTTCAATGTCACCTAGTGAGAAAATTATGTACTTTCCACCAACGATAGGGTTTGATCTCCTGGACAACTTTGCCGATTACAGTACATTTTTAGGAGGTCTTGAGATATATCATATGCGAGAATTGCACGTATATACTAGTACCATGAAGTGAAATATTCTGAACTACCGTCCACTAGCCAAAAGGCCTTGATCCCCTGAACAACTTTGCCCAAGACAGTAACATTCTATCTTGTCATGCTCTCTAGATATTTTATATGAGAGAATTTAACGTGTATACTAGAACTACATAGTGAGAAAATTCTGAACTATTCTACACCAAGCAATAGGCTTTGACCTCCTGAACAACTTTTTCAAAGACAGTAACTTTCTATTTGGTCAGGATCTCGAGATATATCATATGCGAGAAGTGTATATGTATACAAACGCCACGTGGTGAGAAAATTCTGAACTACTGTCTACCAGTCGAAAAGTCTTGACCCCCTGAACAAGTTTGCCCAATACAGTAACTTTCTAGCTGGTCAAGAACTCGAGCTATTGTATATGCGAGAATTACACATATATACTAGCGCCTCGTAGTGTGAAATTTCTAAACTACTCCACCAACGAAAAGAGCTTGACTTCCTGAACAACTTTGCTGAAGGCATTTACTTTCTATCTGGTCAGGATCTAGAGATATTTTATACACGAGAATTTCACATGTATACTAGCACCACGAAGTGAGATAATTCTGAACTATTGTACATTAAGAAATAGGCTTTGACCTCCTGAACAACTTTGCCGAAGACAGTAACTTTCTATCTGGTCAGGATCTCGAGATATTCCATGTTGTAACCAATTAAGTCAATCCCACGTAGTATGGACACCGTTTACGCGGTTTCCATTTACATTTTCTCTATTATCCGCATTTTGGGGGTTAATTGTAATCAAAGTTTAGCTTTTTTAGTTCAAAACAAGTTTTTTGAGGAATACAAGTTGGTTTCAGATCGATTAGCAGCAACAAAATGGCAATGGAAAACTCATATGTGTTGTAAAAAGTACAACAGCGCGAGTAACGGGGGGTTAACTTTTATGCATACCGTAAAACGGGGTGTAATTGATCAGCGGGGCAAAATTGATCGCTGAAATTTCTCGTGATATTTTTTCATGTGTAACATGTTTTTCGTTACTAAGCGTACGAATGTATCTTTGTATACATTGTAAAAATATTATGCATAAGTACAATATTGGGTATACTCAGCGATCAAATTCACCCCGCTGATCAATTTCACCCCGTTTTACGGCACCTTCTTTGAAAATTTTCCCACCTAGACGGACCTAACAAATGCGAGATAGGAAGAAGTGACCGTCGTAATTAATTTTAGGCTCATAGGTTGAAAGAACTTCAGCATGTCCAAACTATATTCATTCCCATTCAGTGTGTCCAAAATATATTATGGACACTGTCCAAAATCAAGTGGAAGGGTCCAAAATATGTGAATATCATGATGTGAAAAGAATTATTTTTCGAGTATATATCAATAAATAAAACATCTAGTGACATTTTACATCCAAGATGAGTAGCTTTCGAACACAACCGCATGTAAATTGCATAATAATAATAAACAAATAATATTATTTTGACATAAACGTGATCTCACTTCCTCTAGGGGTCCAAAATCAGTTGGTTACCCTAATCTATAGAAGATCAAGGTTCTCCAAATTATCCTGGATTTCAGATCAAATGGTATACCAGATCAATCATGACTGATACAATAGTCCATGACGAGAACAGTGGAGATAGCAAACTATCTAATCTAATCTAATCTAACACCAACACAGCCAGTTCTTGAAAGCATCCTGGAAAATGATCTATATACCTACATCATTTTTCTTGTCTATTTGATATATGTTTCACATCGAAGATGCGTCACACATATCAAAACGGCCAGGCCTACTGTGCAGCATTTAAGGGGCAAGATGATTCAGAAAACATCGGGCCTGTTTAAATCGAAGATTTAAACACGATGCTTCAGAATCCAATAAATGGATGAAACGCGGACATCTCGTACCGTACGTTCCGATTTTGGTAATTATATGATTGGTTGGTCGTTGGAAGCATCAAAGCTAGAAAGGTTAAGTGATGCTCCATTTTCTTCTGACGATTGGGGCATGAGCACTAACTCTTGTCCTAGCCTTTTATGACTTATAGCTATAGCGCCATTACTCGCTTTCTGAAAAGAGAAAAGGGAAAGGAAAAGGAGAAGGACAAAGGGGAAAGGATTATGTGAAATCTATGAACATAAACAATATTTTTGATTTGAAATATACAATATAGAAATTCATAACGGCGGTGGTCACTACCCGATTCTTGTCACTATTATCAAGTCAATTCGGAATATGCTCTTCACCATGCAAATTTGAAAATCACTTATGCAGTTTGACACAAATGTAAAAATCAGTTAAATTACTCATTTGACCTAGTGACCCCTTGAGCCTAGTTACATTCGGCTTAATAGCGCCTGTTGACATCTGGCCATGTGGAACTTGTCTATGCCCTTGCGATCAGGCTATGTTTTACCCCTCAATGCTGGGTCTTCCCATCTCCTGGTATCCCCCTTAATCCTCCGAAAGAAATGATTTCCTGACTGTAAGCATTCCGCATTTTCAGCAGTTTAATATTGTGGTCACGAGCCAATGATGTAGATCCAGGGCAGGGACCTCCCAGGTGTAGCAGCTTGCTTGTCTGCCAAAGGCTGCAAAATATGCTGTTTCCTCGTTTTCATTTACTCCGATGTGTCCTAGGGATCCATACAAAATAATATACTTCCGAATTCCTTTGATACAGGGTTATTTGACCATGTCGAACTGGAATTTGATTAGTACGCTAGCAGAATCACTTCTTCCTGGGGTCATTCAATAGTGTCAATCCACTCTGCACCCACGATAATGGCGTCACCGTGCTGTGGCAATGATGGCGATTATCTCTAATCCAAGCCAACCTGATTTGGAAGCACTGGGTAAGCGACTACTTGCATGAGCATCAGCATGAACATGATTAACCGCCCACGGCTGCATTTACACAAAGAACCAACAGATGATGTCCAAGACTAACATTCATCCGCAATGTGTAAAAACAGCAGATCTAATACCTGGCCGTGTCCGAATGCAGGTCAAATAGGGAATGGGAAGGAATGTGTTGACATGACACTGTGAAGGAAACCCAGAAGTCCTCTGCGCTTCCACGAGAAATTACTGGGATATTGAATGTGGGGAAAGGTTTGCAGCATGGATCGCTTTGGTAAACTAATGCTGATTGTAGCGTATACAGGTGACTATAAACAGTACATCAAATGATATCTATGTGTTTGCAGTTAAAATTACAACTATTTTAATCAAATAAAA